GCCAAATACCACAAAACGTTTTAATGAGATTCTACCCAAAATAAAAAGACAATAATGCCCAAAAGCAGTTCAGAGATGAAAATTTAAGTGCAATAGCAGGAATGAGGATTGCAAGTTAAAAGATTAAATTGTTTTCTCCATACCTATATGGTCCATCAGTAGCCCCTACAATCTTACAAATCCTGCTCTCTCTATCTTCTGGTTTTGCCAGTGACATGTTCTTCAACCTCCAGGCTGCATCAGTATGCAGCTGCTCTTTCGGATAAATCTGTCCCTCCACTAAGACGCAGAATTCCATTGGTACATAGCTCGCCCTATTGTTTTTTCCTAGATCAAGGCAAGGAATATCTTTATGCACAATATCCCTGCCGTATTTCTCTCTGAAATAATCAACTATACTAACTTGTCTTTTTGGACATTTGCCATCTGGGTCTTCCATATTGAATTTAATATTCTTTGTTCTCTCCTTGGTCAAACAAACAATAGTGTACTTTTGTTTGGTTTTACGGTGGGTTACTGTAACTTTTAAGTTTGTCAAAGCATTTGCAACAGCATTCCTAGAGACATCAAAATTGTTTAAAGAAAACCTATGAATATGCTGCTTCAGAAACTCAATAACTGGCATCTTTTTCCAAAATGCCAACACGGAATAGTCCACACAGAGTGCTAGACCTTGTGAGGTGGGCTTGAGGCTATGTCGATACCCTCTGGATGCAGTAAGACCAAATCCAAGATCATCATCTGGATCAGGGTTAATGAAATGAAAGCCACGACCAGCAGAAATCATACATTTGGTTGGATTCTCCTTCATTACGACATCCATTCCTTGCAGTATATCACGGGGTACTGTGCAGACATTCCCAGTCAAATAATCCCGCAACTTGTGAAGCTTGAGTTCATTCACCAGCTTTATAGTACACATGTATACTCGTATCCTCGAGTCTTCCACCTCAGACAATTCCACCTTATATACTCCCTCTTCAAGTGGAACTAAACTATAAATATTCTTCTCACCGTCATATGCTGTAGCTGAGAGCGGGAATTTGATGGGATTATCAGTGAAAAGTTTCTTCCTGATCATAGTCATGTTTAACTTTGAAATTTTCCCTGGGCAACTATTTTCAGGGACCACCTCTTGTCTAATATTAATGTCATAGTGCATTATAGTACTGCCGACACTAAACTTAACTAGAAAATGGTTGACACGAAGTCTTGCAGTATGAATGGCCAAGGTACCACCTTCATCAGGTCGTGTAACTGGAAATCTTTTAGAAGTGTTTTTGGGTGTAGAAGATGAAGGTGGCAATTTCTCTGATAATGTCACTGATTGTATCTCTTGAGAGGAAGAATCTGTTAACAAAATCAAAGTGTTGTCCCACAGGACCAATTCATGACAATACACACACCATTAATTTCAAGCTTTAGTCATGAAACAGAAGCCACAAGTCTTACAAACAATGGAAAACCTAGAACATGCACGAAATTTCTCCTGAGCAAGAAAAAACTTAAAAGTTTAACTACATTTGCTTACTGGGCTACAAGTTACAAAACTAAATAAAAAAATAAATAATAGAACAACAAAGAAAGACCTTCTGCACAGAAATGAAAATAAGCAAACAAAGCAGCAACAAAGAGTCCAACTTCAGTAAATCCACATAACTTTTACAACTGTATTAAATTCTACTTCGTATCTTTAGCTGAAATTATTGCCAAAAACTTTTTATTTGTATTGTGAACATGAAACAAGATAAAATTTCTTCACCTTAATTCTTCGGATGTCAAAAGTTGATACATTTTTATAATGCTTGAATTAATTTAACTAAAAATACAAGGAGAAAATTGATAAAATGATAAAAATAAGAAAATTTTATGATATTGACCTGATTTTTAATTTTTATCATTTCTATTTTTCACATATTAGATGTTCAACATTATTAGATTGTTCAACATAAGAAATTTTTTTTTTTTTTTGAAAAAGTTATCTATTATTTCGAGTTCATTGAAAGTTTTACGTGTTTGAGGATATACAGTACAACAATCCTCTGGTATTCGAGTTTATTCTAATTTTTTGGTCAATTGTTTATCCTATTACAAGTCTTATTCTTTGACTACACTTCTAACGATTAAATAAGACAGAACTCGTATCCAATTAATAAGACAGATAAAATTTTGAAAAGAAATTTGCAAGGGAAGATCCATATACCAGGAAAAGGCTCAGTAAACGGAGGTCTATATGGCGGCACTGGAACTCCACCTCTGTTTGGGATCCAAACCTCTCTTCCTCGTCGACTGTTTTCCCCCTTCCCTGGCCCAGCTCCACCCGTACCACAACGACGACCACCATCATGACTCGAATCAAACAATGAATGCGTCTGTCGGCGCTGGAATCCTCCATGATCATCAGGCCTCCGTTGCCTCTGATGATGATCCTGATACTCGTATGAATTCTGATTACGCTGCTGATGATGATGATGGTGGCCTCCAAAACCGTTGGAGCCGCCAACATTGCCACCTCTATGACCACCGCCACCACGTCCGCCTCTTCCTCTTTCCCTATATCCTCGTCTCTCCATTAGACGAATCTCGGGAGTTAAGCGGAGACCTAACTCAGTCCATGTAGTTTCGACAGTACACCAAATAGCAGGACGAATGGAGCAAAGGCAGAGAAGGTAGACCTTTTATAGGGAGGAGAAATGGAAGCTTGTAAGATTCTTGAAAGATTCCGGAAATTCGGTGAATCCGAAGTGGCGTCGGATCCGTTGGTTTCCTAATTAGTGACGGAATTATTTAATGTTAATAAATTATAAATATTATTAATGTCTTATTTAATAATATCAACTCTAATTACAAAAAAACTTGAAAAAGTAAACTTAATATGTAATATCATAAAAAAGATTTTTAAGTAAATATCTTTAAAAATTATTTCATGTAGATTTTTAAGTAAATATCATGAACTTCACATAAACATTAACAATAAAAAAATTTAAAATTCTTAATTAATCTTCTCTACTTGAATCACATTCAATAATTTAATACAAATTAAGATAATTAAAAATAAAAATAATTATAAAAAAGACGTCAAGACTTATCTAATAAATCGATTTAATCCTCTAACGCAATTAGATTATTTAAATAAATATTCTAAATTTTATTATCTATGAAATTAGTGTTTACATTATGTAGGCTTTTACTTAATTAATTAAACTAAAATTAGGATTATATAACTCTATTAAACTCTTAGTCTAAATAGTATTTAAAATAATTCAAACTAATCTAAAACTCTAATAAAATGATTAATTAATTAACTGGATAAAGCTCTCTCTCCCTTGGCCGATTGTGGGAGTTCTCCTCGATTGAGATGCTCTTCATCTTCTTGAATTATCCTTCCATTAATTTATTAATTCTGTTAAAGAAGTTGGGTAGGAATCATGAAGAAGAATTCAGTTAGGAGAGAAATCCTCTTTGGCCGAATTTCAATATATGATTTTCATCCTCCTCCGAATTCTTTCTTCAATTTGGTGTGGAATCTTTATGGCAGCAAACTCCACCTAAAAAGGAAATCTAAACATGAAACATGTGAGAAAATAACGAGAGGAACTCCTTGTGCGAGTGGAGTCCTCCGCCCACGGGGTGGTCTTCTCACGTTTCCTCAAGCTCACAGTCTCTCTTTTCTTATCTTCTTTAAGTCGTTCTTCACGTTTTAAAACTCTTCTTCCTTACCTCATTCTTGTCGCAACCTTTAGTTCTGAAAGAACCCATTTAAACCAACTTGGAGGAGGAGAAGACTTCTGTAGTGGCCGACGAACTTAAAAGGAAATAAAATCATAAATTGAATTCGGAAATGGAATAATAGAGTTAGAGTTTACATTATTTACACAATAATTTTAAAAACCCAATAGGTTTACGGGAATGTCTCTTCTAAAAAAACAAACGAAAATCAAAAAAATAAATAAAAAGTAAACAACTGAGCATCCTAATACGACTTTCACTAGCTTTTGAAGGAGTTCGTATGGTGAACTATTCACAACTCCCTTATTGATCGGAATCTAAATTTTGCTCCTCTTAATCTGAAATAGTTAATGAATGGGTGAACTACACTAGTTTAGTAAGAATATCACATTACTTACTGATACAGAAACTGAAGGTTGGTAAAAATCATAAAAAAAACTAATAAAACTCTTAATTTAAGTAAATTCATTTATTATGAGTAAAATAATTTATTACATACTTACCGTTGCGAGATTTACAAAACTGATATATCGAGACAATAGCTCAACAATATCACAATCTTATATTCAAGTAAGTAATAATAACAACTTTCTCTTTTTACTTGTCTACTACTATCCATGGGGGTCTATAGGGATGTCCCACTACGTGTGAACCAACATCCAACCTTATCAACTAACTGGCTATCCTCACAACCCGTTTGGTATTAGCACCAAAAATACTATTCATCAATACTCCGTCTGGTATGAGTGCCAAAAATACCAATCTTCGACACCCTGTCTGGTATGAATATCAAAAATATCAATCCTCGATACCCCGTCTGGTATGAGGCAACATTCACAGTAGGATTTTCTATGTACTTGGTCTGTCCACTATCTCTCAGAATATCCAATAAGGCTACCATTCATTCATTCATTCACTTAATCAATCAATTTTCTATTTATATTTAATTTTCAATTTCACAATTCAACCATAAATTATGCAAGACAAGCAAGACATGCATCAAGAAAACACAACATAATCATTTTACTAATTCCAGTATATTATCATGCATTTAAAGCTGTAAAGTCAAACAATCGGTTAAACATGACAAACAATAATAAATAACTGATTCTGTCTCCATTAGCAACTTGTAGTTAATTCTTAAAGTTTTTTAAATTACACAAAATACCGTATTATTAATAATTAAACTTCAATTCCATAACAGGAAATAAGGTGAGCGATTCTTACCCGAATCAGTATCCGAAATACTGAACATTCAGTTGCGCCTATTAGTGGTCCCTAAGTTTCCTGAATTTTTCTACGAAAATTAAAACACACTTTACGTACGTAAAAATATCCCAAAAAACCTAAAATCGGTGTTAAAAACTTTTTTGGCCAATTTTAG